TATAGGAAAATTTTCCTTTTTCGTATGATATGTATTGTTTTCTATTGTTTAGATAACTTATGAACCAATCTAAATATGTGCTTTTAATACCATAACTTTCGAGCTTTTTTATAAGAATATTATGGTCTACTGTATCAAAAGCTTTGCTAAGATCTATAAAAACTCCAAGAGTAAACTTTTTCTTGTCAAATGCTTTAAATATATCATCAACAATATTAATAATGGCATGGTCAGTTGAATTACCTGGCTGAAATCCAAATTGTTTATTATATAAAATATTATTTGTATTTAAAAAATTCAAAATCCGATTATACATAATTCGCTCTAAGATTTTTGAGAAGCAAGAGAGAATTGAAATTGGTCTGTAATTTTCAGAATTAGAAATATCTCCTGATTTAAAAATAGGTATAACCCTTGCAATTTTAAGTTTCTCAGGATAGACACCTTGTTTTAAAGAGAGATTAAAAATATGTAAGAGAGGGATTGTCAAGTATTTTATTGATTTTTTTATTACATTACTACTAATATTATCAACTCCTACACTTTTGTTTTGTTTTAAAAGATTTACTGCATCTATAAGTTCATTTTCAGTAATTTCATAAATATCCATTTTAGAGGTCTTATTAGGAGTAAGATATGTCTCAAAGTTTACTTCATTGGTTTCTATTTTTGACGCTAGAGTGGAACCTACACTTACAAAATATTGATTAAGTGATTCAGCAATTAAAGATTTATTTGCAATAACTTTATTATCAGTTGTTAGATTTATAGGAAAAATATTTTTGTCAGTTTGTTTCGTACCAATTACTTCCTTAATAATGTTCCAAATATTGTGCCGATCATATTTATGTTTAATTAATTGCTCGGTATAGTACAACTTCTTGGACTTTTTAATAACCATCTCAAAAATACGTTTATAATTTTTGTAATTGGTTTCATTGTTGAAAGTTTTTTTTTTTGAGAAATTTATTATATAGTCGTTGCTTTTTTTTTTTTTTTTTTTTTTTTTTTTTTTTTATGATAAGAATTCGCAAAAACCAAGTACAAATATGATGTTAAACCAATGATACAGGATTGAAAATATATATATTTTTAAAAACCTTTTACGCAAAAATGCCTTCCATTCATCAGCTTACCCATTCTATTCATCACCACATTTATATCTTGTAAGTTTTGAAAGTTCATGTAAAATTTCAAAGGTACGTGAGTTTTGAGAATTTTTAAAACCCCCATTGATACCGCCTTCCTCCTCAACCATTTTTTCCCATTCCCTGATTGCTTTTTTAGCGTATACACCTAAACTGCGGACAACATATAAACCACAAAAAACATGATGCATTTGAGAAATTTTTTTTTTCATTTAAAGAAAGCTGATCAAAATTTCCAACAACAAAAGGCAAAATTGCATCTCTCCAATGTTTATTTGGTGAAAAAAACTTAAATTAACAACAGTGCGATCTGTCATCAAAGATTTGAAAGAAAAAATAAGCTTTCTAAGATCATCCTTGTAGCTGTCATTTTCAGAAGAATATAACTGAGCCATATCAGTGAGTAACTTTTTTAGCTCACTAAAACAAGACCGTGCCTCATCTGAAAACATATCTTTTATCCCTAATGTGTAGATACCAAATGATGTTGTAACTTGAAAACTACCAACCTCCTTAAAATTGTATTTTTTACGATTTTACGATCGGTATAAAGAACAGTGTGTGAACTATTTAACATAGCCTCTAACATGAGCATTTAATAGAGTGTTTATTTCACTAAAAGGTTTTTCTTCAAAAAAACATTAATACTTGTTTTAAAAAGAGTAAATAGGCTAAACTTGCCATTTTCACATATTTGACAGAAATATGACACTTTCAAAAAACTTTTTTTTTCTATAAAAATAAACCTTGAACTTTTGAAACGATGAGAACTAAAAATATTTGTATAAAAGTCAACAAATGTCCATATTCCATAAGATTTCTCATCCCTTTTTTAATATATACGGAAAATTTTATAAAAATTGGATGTGATTTGGTACTAAGAAATCCTTACCTCCAAAAGGTTCTTTTTAAAAAAACGTTTCCGCGGCAAGCTTTTTTATCAAAAGTGGTCTCAGGATATTGATGATATTTTATTGAAGCCATATAAAGCATATTACTTTCTATATATGTATGGAAAGAGGTTGAATAACACTAATTGATACAAAAAATTTCAAGGTGATTGCTTTACCCTAAAAAAAGATATAAGAGAGTAAAGTTTAAAATTTGGTGTTTTTCGTCAAACGTCAAATGCTTTTTTTAGCGCCGTGGAATCGCTGCTTATAAACAGAATGTCCAGATAAAACATTGAGTCCAACTTTGCTTATAAAAAAAAGAGTATTGCAAGGCTCAGGTTGTTTCGATTTATCCATAACAGTCGAAATACTATTTGTAATATGATACATTATTCCTTGAAGACTCACAAAAGCATTGTAGTTAGTTGTGACAAATCCGGAATCTAGAATACAATCACTTTTAGCTTTCAAAATAAAGTTTTAGGCAGGTTATAATATGCAACCTTTATGCAATGCCTATTGACGGATAGATTAATAGTCAGTCCTACTCATTCTACAGTCTATTTTAAAGCTAAAGCTTCTTCTGCTGAGTAGCTTTGAAAGAATGATATATTACAGGATCCATCAGTTTTACTTTCCATTAACGATTTTTGAACCATTTTTTTTTTTTGTCTACCGGTCTCATTCCATTTATTTTTAATTTTTTTCAAAAGTTTTTGAATAACCGCATCTGATTGTATTTCAGATGACGTTTAGAAGCCAATATACAAAAATTTCGCTTATTAGTAATTAGTGTTACTTAATAATTAATTTTTTATATTTATTCTCACACTTTCCTTTCATTAAGTAATTGAAAATGTCTTTTAAGGTGCGGATCTAGGGTATAGCCGTTATGGCTAAGACTACACCTTAAAATAATCGACGAAATAAAAAACAATATAATACTCTAACATATTTTAAAATAAAAATAATATAAATATATATATATATATATATATTATTTTTACTATATATAGTTAAGATAAGTTTATTTTTTTTTTTGGCTGTGTAAACTCGGCTTTAAAAGCAACTTAAAACTAGTACTTAAAACTAAAAAAAGACCGGAATTAGAAAAAAGATCGGTCATTGCATATCAGTTTGTGGCTGAGCCACAAACGAGCTGATTTTACAGCATAAGCTGACAAAATTAATATTTTTTTAACGTGCTATATTTTCATTGAAAAGTCGTATGCCGTCAACACTCGTAGCCCATTTTTGCCTTGTGACTGTACTTATTTGCCAGTCTTTTTATGCGAAGCTATTTTCAAAAAAGCAAAGCGATTTGATTGTTTTTTTAGTAAGTTGGTAATTATGGCGGTTTTGTTTTGAAAAAAAAACTGCTCCAAATGCTGTTTGAATATCTCACCATTTTAATTTTGTAGAAAAACTTTTGGCTTGAAAATATCCTGATATAAATGTTTTTATGCCATATTTTAAAATGGATCAAGGTTTCGACAAAACTTTTGTAGCTTTAAGGTATATTTTTAACTATGTTTTCACGGACTATATTTATAATAAAAATAACTAGCTTTTTATAACTGAAACTAGTTTACATATATGCAACTGTTTCTGTGCTTATTGTTTTAAAATTCTTATAACATTTAACTAAAAGAATATTATTTCATTAAACAGGTTAATACTATATATAATAGTATTGCCACAGAGCTATATAAACAATATTTATTGTTTTTGGCTATAAATATAAATAATTAAAACATTAGATTTTTATTTCTTCAAAAATAGTTTTAATCTTCAAATTAAAGCTTCAATTAAAGAGGATCTTATAATTTGATTCTATTGTTAATTAGAATCAAATATAATATAATATTGGAGACTATAATATGAGTCCTCAAGAAAGAGTTGACGGAATTATTTTTGAGCTACTTAACTTTGGTATTTATGCAGGTGACACTTTCTTATAAGATCATTTAATATCAGCCCCTAAAAGTGTCACATTATTTCTTAAACCACACAAAATCAACTTATGGAGTATTGTAGTGAGGCTTTTGAGAAAATTCTTATTTCTGAAATCAATAATAGTAAATACTATTCAATTTTAGCTGATAAAGCATATGATTGTGCCAATCTTAAACAGTAATCTATCGTTATAACATACATAAGCAATAACTATAATATTCGTAAAGATTTCTTATGGTTTTTTGACTGTCCCTAATTGTTTAAATGTATCCTTTGTCAAAAATTACAGACATGTTTAAATAATTATTTTGTTGGTAAAGCAAATTATTTTCTGTTGGTAAAACAAAGTTAATCAATGTCTGTTTTACTTGTTGTGTTTAAAAACAGAAATGTCTAGGCATTTTTTTAGCTTGTCTAGGCATTTTTTTAGCTTTTTTTAAGTCTCTATATAGTTGATCTTTGAATTTTATTTCATTGTAACTTTTGTTTTAACCAAAATTTGATTGAGTTTTTTAGATTGTAATTAGACTCCACAATACAACATGTTTCAAATTTCAGAATCTTGAAACTGACAATTAAAAACACACTTCAATTGATTAAATTTGGTATTGATTTATATCGCTACAACTGGTCTAATATTGCTTTTAAATTAGCTATGACTTTACATGTAAAAGAAAATAAAAAACTAGAAAATGTGGGAAGCAAATCAATCATGATAATCACTCCTCATCTGCTTATTTTAAGCTTTCTATCACTTTACCTCTACTGGACCATCTTGTTATTGAGCTTATTAATTGTATAAGATTTTAAGCAGAAAGCTTTTTTAAAGCTTTTTCAAATTTGGTTTATATGGGATATAAACCAACTTTAAATATAATTGCAGTTTCAACTGTCATGTTAAGTTACCTGAAAACTAACTAAGATTTGCAAATCTGCTTTCAGGAACTTCTATTATTTTATCTATCATTTTAACTCTACATTCAATCTTTATTCATGCAGAGTTGTATTATGGAAGCCTCTTTAGAAAGATGACCCCGTCCCCCAACATTCTTGAGTATTTTAAAGATTTAAGTCTAGGTACAATACCAAGAGATTAAAAACTTATTCAAGAAGTAGAGTGTTAAATAAGTCATTGAATGGCCTAGCTTTAGTGTCAATTTATACCAAAATTGTTCTAGATAAAATCAGGGTTAAAAAAAAAAATTCAGCTTCTGGAGAGAGATGTTTAAAGCTGCTATTTAAGCATTAAATAATTGGCTATGATTATATAATAACTATATTTATATGTGAATAAAATAATTGAATGTCTCTTATATTTACAATGATTTTTTTGTTTTTTTCATTGTTTAATTTTCTCTTAGAGCATCTTATTTTTTATTTGTTATAAATGTTTAATAAATAAATTTATTTTCTATTTTGTTTACATTTCATAATCCTTGACATCTAAAATGTTAACTGTTTTAAAAATTGTTCTGAACTATATAATGTAAACCACTAAATAAAAAATTTAAATGTGTGTTAAATTTGTTAGAGTATGCTACAAAAAGAGTGCTGGATAATCATAAAAAACAAAGATACAATAAATTAGCTTCCTAAGTGTTCTATAGATAATGAGACTGTTCAAATCTTTTTTTTTTTTAATATATATTTATATATAGTAGTATATAACTTTGAAAAAAAATCTCTTTTGAATAAATCACAATATCATATTGCTAATGCAGTAATAGTTGCTCTATTATTAACAAAAATATAAAGAAAAGAATCCAGAATTTTAGAGTTAACTTTAGGCAGCATTACAACTTACATATGGAATGCAAAGTCCTAAGGCTTAACTTTTAGTTGGTGCACTTCGTTAAGTAAGTTAGACATTATGTCTAAATTACGAACAGAATAGCCAAGGCAAATTTTATATTATACCAAAATATATGTATGCAAAAATTGAATAAAAGACGCTCAGATAAAGAAACTGTCTGGCAGCGTCTACATGACGTAATTATTACTTGTTAAATAGCCGCAATTATGACATAATTTTCGAAATTTTAGCTACACCTAAATAAAATCCTAGATCCGCCCTTGCTTTTATCCTCATATTCAAAATTGGTTTCACTACTAACTAACTATTGAATATTATTTGTTTAGATTATTTTGTTTATTCAATTTTTTTTATTTGATTGTTTTATTTATGTTTTGTTTGGTTCGCTTTTATATTAGAATATCCCGCTTTTCATTACCACCAGTGAGAGAAAAGCAGCATTTTAGTTTAAGTATATCATGTATAGACTGACCCTATGTATACAAAAGCATCCAAAACGTTTTCAAAAATTTTATATAAACAACATATTTACAATTGCAATAAAGTTCAAGGTGGGCAAACCTGGGGCATAACCTGGGCAAAAAAATTTCTGTTTTTTATTAAAAATTAGGAAGTTATTTTAAAAATGAAAATTGAGCTAAAACTATAAATTCACTGTTCATTAACTGTGCTGCTCAGTTCATTAACTGTGCTGCTCAGTTCATTAACTGTGCTGCTCAGCTAAGTATTATTCTATTTTATTTCCAAAATTTGCTTTAGGAAAAACTTCTGAGAACAATTTTGTTCTAACTCATTGAAATTATTTTTAATTTAAAACATTCTCTTTTGTTTATTTTTTTATTATTACCATCAAAGTTTTTAAATGTTTACTTAGTTTATATATATTTAAAAACTGGTGTCACTTCGTTGATCATAATTTTTTTTGAGTGATACCATCCTTTTCAATCATTTAGTTATTTTAATTTCTAAATAATTACAATTAGTTTATTCATCAATAAAGTTATTATTATTTCTATATATTAAGTTATTATTATTTCTATATATATATATATATATATATATATATATATATATATATATATATATATATATATATATATATATATATATATATATATATATATATATATATATATATATATATATAAATATATATATATATACATATATATATATATATATATCTGAAGGATGTTTGAATTCACTTCTTTGCTTTTTTGACAATATTTTTTTTATGATCAAGTTTGCCGCTTTTATAAAGGTATTACATGAGCTAAACGGAGAAGCGATTCATTTTATAAAGGTATTACATAAACTAAACGGAGAAACGATTCATTTTATAAAGGTATTACATAAACTAAACGGAGAAGCGATTTAATAAAGAATCAAGAGTCCAAATAATACTAATATTAAGGGCAAGAAATGCTTAATTTTTGCAATTTGATTGAGCAACCTTGTTTCCCTAAAATTCATTATTTGGTTTTTTACCAGTTCTTTTTCATTCATTGTTATGTCTTTAAAGTTACTTATGAAGCGTATTCAAATGGCCCTGCAGAACCATGGAGAACAGGTGACTGTGTATCGCAATATAATTTTTTTCTGTTCACAATCCATTTTACCGATCATGTTCAGAGGTACTAAAGTACTTTGCAAAATATTTTTACATACATACTTATATAAAAGCAATGTGAGGTTGTCAGGTAATCCCAGCCGGCATCACTATGTTGTTTTAATCTTGAAATTCAGTTGAAGCGTTGTTTCAACGTTGTTCAACTTGGTCACAACGTTAAAACAACATTACGGTTCAAAAGTTATTTATTTAACGTTATTTCAACGTTAAATCAACGTTGACAAAAAAACTCAATTGTAAAGAAATCGTGCTGTTGTGTTGGTGCTTAAAGTAATATCAGTTTAAACGAAAAAAGTAATTTAAACAATATTTAGTATATGTGTGAAATTGTTAATTTTTAAAAATATTTTATTTAGTATTCAAATTTTTACTTGTTCGGACGATAAAATTAATGGTTTATTTAAGAAACTGGCGAAAATGCCACTCAAACGTTCTAGCTCTGGCAGAATCATCTTCTAGTATTGAAAAAGAGAAACTCGAGAGAAATACTGACAAATCTAAGTTTACACAAAATATCAATCCAGTAGAAGAAAACAATAATTCGGAAAGCATTTATGAAAGTGAAGAATTTCTTAATGATTCTCATAAAAAATTGAAAAAAACGATGTTTCACTTAATCAAAAACTGGCGAAATGGGCAGCAAAACACGGCTGTACACGTTAATGTGTAAACGATGTTTAGCCATACTGATAGCGGAAGGGCATTGTCTGCCAAAAGATTCCAAAATCAGTTACTGTTGAAAGATTGTGTGGTGATAAATACTATTAGTATTGACCACTAAGGTATTAGTATTAATTGAGACCTATATAAAGGTAAATCATCAACATTTACATCAATAGGTATTGTTTCATTTATAAAAATTAAAGAATCTTTGTTAGTTGCCGAAACACCTTTTAGTATACCAGTTTCAAGACAAAAGTAATAGTAATACTAATACTTTGGACTTGAAACTGGTATACTAAAAGCTGTTTCAGCATCAAACAAAGATTATTCAATTTTTATAAATGAAACAATTCTTATTGATGTAAATATTAATGGTTTACCTTTGTTTAGGTCTACATCAATGAACCTTTGGCCTATTTTAGAATAGTATATTCTAACCCTATTATTGTGGGATTATATTATGGAAAATCTAGACAATCTAATATTGATGATTTTTGATTCTTTAAATAAATTAAAAAAAAAAAGAGAATATCTAATTTTGATTATGCACAAAAACTCATTATTTACTTTGTTGAAAAAGCATCTGAGTTTTATGGCAACACTTTTTTTTGTTTTTAATGTGCATGGTTTGCTGTATTTTCATGAAGATGTTAAATTCTTTCGATTGTTCCCTTAACAAATTTTTTGCAAAGTTGATGTGTACGGTAAGAAGACAAGTTTACCCAGTCAAAAGTTTGTCCAAGAGGAAATTTGTTCTTTGTCTTCTGAAGATATAGGTCATTATTTCATAAATTTATTTACTAAAGCATTATTTTATTGAGAAAAAAATGTTTTTTTACAACATGTATTAAAAACATGTATGAAAAAATGATTAACAAAATTTATTTTGGAAATTTTTCAACTTGAAATTTTTTTTATAATGAAAGTTGAGAGTGAAAGTGGTGGTTTTTTTTTTAATTTTGTGTTTTTAGTTCAATTTATTTCAAAAATATAGTATACAATGAGGATAAGAAAAAAAAGAAACAAAGTACCAAAATTAGATAACGTTGATAAGTTCCTAATGCTCAGTGGATCAAAAGTGACATTTTCTAGCCAAAACCTCTAAAACCAAAATTTTTTTATTTTTTTTAATTAGAAACAGTTTATTATATTGAAAAACATAATTTGTGGAAAAAATAACATTTGTTTTTTAAAAACTTCAAATTTTATTACATAATCACGCAAATTATTAAAAAACTCATTTATTTTCCATTTATAAAAAATTCCGTTTTTACCCAACAAAATTAACAACAAGGATATTTTTTAAACTTATGTTTTACGCAGAGTATTCTATCGTTGGCTCTTGCAGTAGTTCAAGTACACCAGATGGTAGACTTTTTTTTTTGTATCTTCTTATTGTGCAAGTTAAAGGATCAGATGCATATAAAAGGCGGTGAAAAAGGTCTATATTGTTTTTTTTCCGATCGCATTTTCTTGTAAAATTTTCACGAAAAATCTTAAAAACCTTATTGGTAGCCTCTTGAGCCTCTTCAGAAAACATACCTAATGGAAGAGTAAATAGTTCAATGACTTCATAGCCATGAATCAAAATCTTATTAATCTTTGAGTCATAGGATACCAAGGGTACAGGAATGCATAGAGCGAAGCAGTTTCCCAACAGAATGTTTTAAATTTGGATGAGTTAATTTCATAACCACTTGATATTGTGGCCAGAATAATATGAAGCCTTTTCATAAGATCTACATCGATGTTCATTATACTAGCTGAGACATCGTATTGCTGAAAAAATCGCCTAGTTGTGTTGCCATCGTTTGATGTACCTGCCCCACCTATTCTCGGTTGGTCTATGACAAGACCTATCCTTGTTCGAAATTCATCAAAGACTTCAAGCTTTCTCAGTTTAAAAATATTTTTTTCGTCTTGATTTCTAGCCTGCCACTTCATAATCGGCATCTTATAAGAGATATGGAGCATACATTCTAAAAACCTTATCCAAGCATGCAAAGTTGAAACGCCATGTTATATATTACCTTCTAAAGTTTTTTCTTGAACAACTAAAGATAAATTGTTTATTTTGATTGGAGATGCATCACATACTGAACAGCATTGGTATGAGTTGGTTGCTATGGAAATAATAGTTTGAATTTTTCCATCTATTATTGTTAAATTTACAATATGTTGTACTTCAACTTCTTTTATTGTACCGGCCATAATTGATATTCTGCAAGAATTAATTCATTTGATCCTTTTCTATATTTAAATCTCAGAGGTCTGCAGTGATTAGTTGACGATGGTTTCGGATTTCTCCAAACAACCTGTTTTTTGTCATCTTTGAAACAATATAGTTCTAGAGGAACCAAGCAAGTTATGAAAAGTGATTCATCTGTATGAAGTTCACTAGAAACATCTGACAGTTGTTTATAAACAGATTGTCCTGTTGCACCATCAAAACCAGCTTTATATATTATAAATAGTTTAGTACAATTTTTAAGCACAGGTGAATTTAACACAACACTATAAGCTGAACATATTCTTGATGCAGTATGAAAAAGAAGAGCTTGTAATGGAACCTCTGCAGAGTAGTCACTGACCTGAATGTTTTCAGGGTAGCATTTATTTTTAGCCTCTTTTACAATATGATAGGATGGGTATAGAGAGCTGAATGGAAGAGCATTGTTTCTTAAATGCTGATAAGTTTCTTTGGATAAATTCTAAGACTAGCGCTAATAATTGTTTTATACAAAATGCAAAAAATATATTTTTTTTTAATGTGATTTAAATATTAACATAATACTATATGAGTCATTTATAAGTTAAAAAATAAACTTAAACTTCTTTAAAATAAGAAATCAAAGTTTTCAAAAGATGTAAAAAAATAAAATTTTCCTACTTTTTTGTTGTTATTGATAAAAAGTATTTAAGGAAATATTTAAACAACAAATATGGCGTTTTATTGAAAAATTATTTTTTAATAAAATATAATTTCTGGCTTATTAATATATTGAACAAAATTTGCCTTTTTCAAAATTTTAAAATTTAAAAACTTTTTTGTATGGTTTTGCCGGCTTCTGACCTACTGTGCAATGGGTGATGGCAGTATATTATTATTTATTTTTTAGTAAATTTTTATTTAAATTTATTAAGTTAGTAGAAATATTCAACAAAAGTTGTTTTGTGAAACTATTTTAATTTATAGAGTTTCAAAAGAGAGTGTTATATTTACTTACTGATACAAAAAATGAGCTACGAAGCCATAACACAGTGACCAAGTCGGATTATAATAGTGATTTTACGAGCCAAATACGGTTTATTTTGTCAGTAGCTAAGTTTGATCATCATGGGTGAGCTTTAATAAGTATTTTATTAAATAGTTATACCCTTTAGTTTTAGAAATTTTTTTTTAGTTTTATGTTTATAGCTTTGTCAAAACTTATAAAAACTGTATATATAAAAACAATGGCTTCTTATTCTGTAGTATAATTTTAATGGTTTTAAAGGCATTTTATTTTTAATGTCCACAGTTTTATTTTCATTAAAATAATACATTATAATACATTATGAGCGAGGTTAGGCAAATTTTTACAACCACGTGTCATTCCTGGTGTTAACTTGTTATTCAGATTAGAACTGATTTTTTTTTTGTTATACTACCAGAAAGTTACCATAAGGTTTACAAGCTCCTACGATGAAATTAAGAGTTCTATATGCAAGCTTTCCTTCTCCAAGGTGTGTTAGGGATAGGGATACAGGCATAGTTTTTTGAGCTTTGCTAAAAAACTATGCCTGTACTAATATAGAATCAATTTAATGTCATGACCAGGACAATTTAAAAACAAATAACATTTTTGTATTTTTTTTTTTATTATTATTATTTAAATTATATCTGTTGGATGATGAGTTTGATGATAAAATAAAAACTTGTTTTTTTTTTTGTTTTTTGGTTCATTTTATTTCATTTTTATGAAATTGTCAATTAATTTTTATAGTGGGTAAAGCAGTGTGTTTCCTTGCTATAAAATGCTTTTATTCTGTTTTTTTATTTTTTTATATTAATCCAAAGCAATGATATAGAGTAGAGCAGGACTAAAATTATTATTAAATTTTAGCAGAACAAATGAAGTGATTTTAATTAAATGTCATTTTTATCAATCACTTAAAAAAATATGATGAATATTTGTATAAAGATGATTAAAATTTTAAACAAAAATATTAGCTTTACATGTTGTTGTTTTTAGGAGAATCAATAACAATTAACTGGTGGAATATCTTTAAAAGACAGAATTCACAAAATAGTGCTGAGGAAATCAAAATAACTTTTGATTATTCATGAACTTTAAGAATTAAGTTATTTAGAAGAAAATTGTTTGATAATGAGTCCAATTTAAATATTTGAAAAATAAATTTAATATTAGTTCTCCCATAATTATTATTAGTTCTCTTATCTATAAAAATTTAGAATATTTTCCAACAGTTTTATGACCTCCGTGAATTTGAAGGGGAAAGGTGGAAAAATATGATTTAAGAGCACTAATTTATAGGTGTTGTGAAAGGTATACCTTTATAAGACATGTAAAAATTCTTTATTCTCATTTGCTACATATTCCAAAATTTCTCTTTGTGTCTTTTTTTTTTTAATTTTTTTTTATTTCAGTTTCTTCTATACAAAACAGCAAATGAAACTTTCATTGCAGCCATTTTGTCTGACTTAAAATACAGGTAGAATTCCCTTAAAAACTACACGTATTAACTCTCAGCTCTGGGTTCCATTAATGAAAATGAAATTATTAAATAATGATTGAACCAGTATCTCTAAACATCCTAGACGAAAAATTAATTAAAAATTTACCTCTCAAAAAGAGAATGAAAATCAAATTTTTAGTTTTAAAAATGGCTCAATTTATGCATTATAACCTCCTACTGTTTAATAGTTTAATTTTAAGTTTATCTTATTTCTAGATAATGTTAGTCTTGTTCTAATCCACCAATATAATATTAATTAATTTACAAACTCTTAAAGATGTTTGTTTTGTATTTTTTTCGCAGTGCTATGAATGTAGTTTTTAAGGGGTCACTAGCTTTAAAATAGGAAGTTTAGCTTTTAATGCAATAACAATGTATATTTTGAATAATCGGAAATATGAAAAGTAGTAAAAAAATTATAGATTCAAGACAATAAAAGCTTTAATAACAGCAATAACTATTTTTTGAATAACATGAAATGAAATATATATATATATAAAAAGTATATACATATATATATATATGTATATATATGTATATATATATGTATATATATGTATATATATATATATGTGTATATATATATATGTATATATATATATATATATATATATATATATATATATATATATATATATATATATATATATATATATATATATATATATATATATATATATATGTATATATATATATATATATATATATATATATATATATATATATATATATATATATATATATATATATATATATATATATATATATATATATATATATATATATATATATATATATATATATATATGATAATTTTTTCTTTGTTTGATATGTAAATGATATAACGGGGCTGGATGATAAGACTTTTGTCTTCTGCCTGCTCCTGTCATATCTTAACTCAAAATAAATATATTGTAAATAATTTATTATAACGATGACAAAAATGTAGAAAAAAAAAAAAAAAAAAAAAACCCTCAAAGAACGTTTCATAAATTTGTCGAAAAAAAATTTAATTTATAGCGTAACATTTTTTAAAGAATTCAAAGAATTTTTGAAAAAGTTTGCTTTGGAGTCGGATTAGGAGTTGGGGTCAAAGTTGTGCTCAAAAAATTTCAACAACTAGAATCGGAGTTGGAGTTGTACTCAAAAAATTTCAACAACTGAAGTCGGGTCGTTACTTTTTTTTGACGACTGCACACCCCTGGTTTTTATATATGAGTGTATAAATAGTAAACCTCCATTTCTGCTTAGTCAAAAGCAATAAGCAACCAAAAGTTGGTACTTGATAAATATAAATATGTATAAACTCTGGCATAGAGACACGTTGCGCAGGGAGTGTTGCCCTTTCACTCAAAACTCAAAGTTTTAGTTTTTACTATATAAATTTTAGCTGCGTTAAACCTCCTTAATTTTTTATGCAGCCCCTCATCCCCATTCTTACTTTTTCAAACTTTCTAGGTCGCTATATATATATATATATATATATATATATATATATATATATATATATATATATATATATATATATATATATATATATATATATATATATATATATATATATATATGATTTTATTTTGCAAGTTTTTTTTTGTAAAGCGTTATTACAGAATTATTATTAATAATTTTTTTCGTTTAATGCGTTGCGGAAGGTGAATTTGCGCATGCACAACTTCCGCAATAGTAACTTGAAACACGGGGAATAAAAATGCGAAATTTTTTTTAAGTTTTTTTTTTACGGCAAGCAACCCTAGGCGATATACAGTTTTTATAATGTATACTGTAATATATACTTTTTATTGTTATTACATAAATATATTTTAATACGCTTTCTTTGAAATATTTTGTATTTAATATCGAGTATTTTAATATAATTCTTAATGAATAGACATACTAAAAAAAAGAAAATCATAAAGTAACAAATAAATATTGTGAACTTTGTGAATTAAATTGTACCGATTTACGTGTTATGTACTATTTACGTGTTAAATTGTGCTTTATGTGTTAAAATTATACCGCTTGTTTATCGCTTTTTTAAGAAACGCATATTATACGTGTGGTATACACGCGTGATAGACACAAACAAACAAGCAATCGCAAAAGGATTTTTTCACGCGCTGGCCTACGAGCTGAATATAATACATTGGCTCGCTAAGTGTTTCAAACTCTTTGTAAAAGTTTAAAATTTAGTGATATTCATGACATACCTGTTATCTGTGGTATTTATATTATATCCACAATATCTATAATATATAACTAGTATTTCTAGTCTACATCTTAAATACAAGATCATTAAAAATGACAATAAAGTATCAAGCCCTTTAAACAACTTAGGTCAGAACTTTCGAGTTAGGGGTTGTCCATAAAGTACGTACGTTTTTTTTTACGCCAAAATTTAGTTAATTGTCAAACAACTGAGCGAATTTAGTACTTGGTATTTCTATTGCTGGTAAATGTATCTATGCCAAATAATACTAAAAATATTATCATATAAATTTATTTTTATATTTAAATCAACAAAATACTTAACGTTTGAGTAGAAGTTTCACTGAAAATTTTACTCAAACGTTAACAAGAATGGTGATTTTATCAAACTTGCTGTCACATTATAGAAAACTTTTAAAAATTTAAACAAAGAACGACCATATTAACTTTGTCTTGTTGGCTTGAAATTTATTCATTGGCATACTTTTTTTTTATTTGCTGAATTTTGTTAATTTTAATATGGCTGAAGTTTGCTATTTTGGGATTTTAAAAGCATTTTTTATTAATTAAGGTGGTAGACTGCTAAAAAAGTTAGAAAAAAACGAATTTCCAAAAGTGGCATTGTTTTAACAGTAACTGATGTAGAGTCTAAAAATATATAGATCTTCGTATGAGGAAAAAAATTTAGAACTAATAAAAGTGATTTATATTAGTAGGGTAATTTTGTTTCCCCTAGCAACGCTCTTAGCAACCGCTAGTTAAGGTTAGTAATAAAAAAAAAAAATTAAAAAAAAAGAAAAAATCTTAAAGCAACTAGGAAAGGGTTTGATAAAAAATACAAAAATTAAGAAAAGCAGTATATAAAAAAGGGGGATATTAATAAGTTTGTATATTCAATATTTTTAATTTTATATGCTTTTTTCTCTGTTTTATTCTTCTAATTTTCTGGCAAAGATTGCAGGAGCTGTAATTGTCCAATTGACTTAAAATTTTGTACAGAGATTCTTTATAATAAGCTTTATGTCCTGAGATAAAAAAAATTTAGAATATAAACTTTTAAAACAACAAACTTTTTGTTCTTAATATCTGATATTCGATTATTAATTTGGCGCTTTGAAAAATCTAACGATGCTTTAAAATAAAGAAATTTTCAACAAAAATTTTTATCTCAGGACATTTATCTACATAAAACAAATACAAATACAAAAAATTAGAACTTAATAAATTATACTTTTTGAGACATCTTTGCCAAGATTTTAGCCTGTTTTTGGCCCAAAATATATATGGAAAAAAAAAAAAAATTGAAAATTATGAACTTTCTAATGTACCATAGTCATAAGAAATAGATAGTCTGGTCACTCGGGCCGTATTATTTGATTTTTCTAATATTCGTTAAAAACACTTGAAAACTGTCGAACGGCACAAAATATGGAAACGGACATAGAGTTAAATAGCGAATTTGATATTGAAACACTATTTTTTTCTTTGGAGGACGATTTCCTCTTTCAAGACAAAAATTTTAATAAAGATTTAGACGCCTTGGTGTTGGAGTTGTCCATTGAACCAGTTAAAAGCACATTTTCTTGTACAATTTGCTCTAAGAAATGCATATTTCAAAGAGGCCTTACAAGGTATACAAACTCACAGCATAAAGGTATTCCTTCGGACTTAACATTACAAAATCCTAAACCCCCTATTCTTCTTAGCGAGTTTAAAAGTCTGCTTGATAAAAGCATTACTACTTTAATTGACGACGAATGCTATTCTGATTTGTATAGAAACGAGTTGAGAATAAATCATGCAATGCTATTAGAAACTTCACAACAAACCCTATCTTTATTAGAGACAACAATAGCATACAAGATATTAATTGTGATATTTTCATAAACTATCTAAGTAAAAAAACAACTAGACTTCTTGGATGTGAACTATGCAATCATGTTTTAGCGTTTCTTACAAACTCATTTTACAATAATTCTTTAATAAATTTAAATGATTTATCATCTTTTGAACTTTCAGATCAAGATAAAGAAATAATCTTGTATTTAAGTGGCTATGTATTCAGTACATTTTATTGCAGAGTTCGGAGTTCACGGTTATGGCAGCAAAAGTTAAGCACAGACTGCCTTTCACTTCTTAATGCTGGTAAAATTGAAAATTTTTTAAAGAATCCTGAGCCATCCACTGAGTTTTACCATAAATTTGCAAATTTGCAAAAAAATGCAAAAAATCGCGGTGGTTTGTGGAAAGTGTCTCTTCCAGTTTTAGAGATCTTTACCAAAGTCGAGGTTCTCTTTCGCCAACAAAGTAATGGTTTTGTAAAAAAAATTGATTCAGAACTGATTGTAACAGAAATTTTAAAAAACATTGTTATGGCAAGCATATCTGAACTTCGTAGTCTTTGCACAAATCAAGTATCCAAAGAACTGTCTTTAAACTTGTTTTATCATCTAGTTACACTTTATG